AACTCTGGTGGGGCATCACTGCTGCATACTTTATCTGAAACTAAATATTTTCTAAATAAAATATATAGCCACAAAAATTCTGCCTCCCCTTTACCTAGAATCACCATCTCCTGCTTGCATGATTCTTGCTACTCCTTATAGTCAACTTCAAGGATGGCTACTCTATCTGTAGTATATTTAAAATTTACAGTCATGCAGTGTTTGCTATGATTCTATGCTTATCATCAGCCATCACTGTGATTGCCGATCTGATGCTTGAAACTGAGGTTGGTGCTATCTTTTTAAACTAGGGCTTAAAGATTTCTGTTGTGGGAGACAGCCTAGATGTTTGTGTAATGTTTTAGACATTTGTTTAATGTTTTAGATGTTTATGTAACATGGCCGAAATTGATCATGCAGTGGCAAAAAAACTGTGATCCTGTCAGCAGTGTTGTATCCGAAAGAGCAGGAACCTTATACATAAACAAATGATATGTGACATCAATACAATTGCAACAATAACTTAATACTTGCTATGATACGTGTGTCAAGCCTGCCATATAAACATGAAATTGCATTCACAGTCTGCACGCAGCTATATACTGATGCATGTAATAGATTATGAGGCTCCATATAAACCGCAGACTACATTAAAACGGTTAGGAGTCAACACTTATACAGCCACTGTTATTTGCTTGGCAGGCAAATAAACTTAAAAACTACCCTACACAATGGGCAATGGTATCGTTACTTGCAGAAACATGGTACTGCAGCTTTACTATTTATTTTTACATTTTTGTATATATATAACAGAAACATGGTTCGTATGTTTGTTTGTAATTATGCACAAAGCTACACAATGGGCTATCTGTGCTCTGCCCACCACGGGTATCGAAACCCGATTTCTAGCGTTGTAAGTCGGCAGACATACCACTGTGCCACTGGGGGGCCAGAAACATGGAATAGAAGCTTTACTTTTTATTTTTAGTTTCATATATGGAACACAAACATGGTATGGCAGCTTTACTTTTTATTTGTAGTTTTGTATCATGAACTACGGTAGTGGTTCATAATAGGGATTACCCATTTGTTCTTCTTTATTATTAGTTAATATTGTTCTGCCAGCCTACAGCAAAAATGACTGAGTATTGTAATAAAACGTGGGCAATATTACTAAATTTAATATCCTATTTATTATAACTTTTCATGGAAACATTGAACAACAATGGAAATATACTCTAATTCTACCATGTTTATTTTTTGTGGATGCCTTTCTCTTTGTTTATCACTTTGAATCATATTTGGGTAAACAAGCTTTAAACCAAAACATAAGAGTGATTTTTTTTTTTTTTGCTTTCTCTCTTTGTGTGCATTGAAGGAGACAAATAATGCTGTAGTATAAACAAAAATAAATTGATATATTGACTAGGGTTGACTTTATGTAGTTGTATTCCTAAAATAGTTTCATTATATTAGTAATTTTTCTTGGCTCTTATAAGTTGGTTCCCAAATGGATTGAGAAAGTTGTTTCAAACTTTCTATAATACAGGAATAATACACCGAGAAAGTTTTTAGTCAGTAATAATATTTTGTTAGTCACTGAAGTCAATTAAATATATGTGTAAGAGAGAGAGAGATTTTATTAATGACTAATGTTCTTCAATTTATTTTATGCAGTAAATTTAAAAATTATATTCTAGTATTGAATTCTGTTGGTCAATTAAAGCTGTACTTCACATGTGGAAGAGACATTTTAATACTGATTTCGTTGAAAGAATTAAAGCTATGCTACACTTGAGACATTTGTAACTGTTTACAAAGTTATTGAAAGCCTTTTGGTTATGGTTAGGCTCAAGCCAAGCAGCGAGCTGGCAGGGCAGGACGGACAGGTCCAGGGAAATGTTATCGACTGTACACAGAGAGAGCTTACCGAGATGAAATGCTGACTACCCCAGTACCCGAGATTCAACGAACCAACTTGGCTTCTACAGTTTTACAACTGAAGGCTATGGGTATTAATGATTTGTTGTCCTTTGATTTTATGGATGCTCCCCCCACAGAGGTATGTTGTCACAATTTGCATTTTAACTTTATTCATGAGGGCTAAGTAAAATGGGTACATAGTCAAGAGTTATAACTGTTTTATGTGAATGTCATGAAGTTTCTCTAGTACTTACTTTGCAAGGTAATCATATTAATCACATCTTACTCTGTTTCTTCTTTCACACACGATTCTTCTGTTTTCTTGTATACCAGATTTTGTCTCCATCTTTTATCTTAGTTAGATGTCGTCCTAAGTTTTTTGTTTATAACTGAACACTTCTTCACCTTACAGATATCAAAATATGGGGATTTCTTTTGTATTATTTACCTGCCTTCTCAATAAGTGCAGAATTTTTTTTTTTTGCTGTTTGTATTCTCACTAAATAACAGGATTTCATGCCTTTTTTGCAAAGTAGAGGGCTTTAGCTGCTATCATTTGTCTTCATTCTGTGTGCAGGAATTTTTTATTATTATTGGTTTTTCTTGCCAAAAACAGGATTTTGTGTCTATTTGTTCATTTTTCTTGTTAAATGTAAGATTTCTTCTTTTTTGAGTAATTAAAATTATTTATCTTCCATGCTGTATGACAAATTAAGCTGAAGACTTCATACCTTCTATTTAATTGCCTTTTATTGAAACATAAAGTCCACTCTTAAACGATCATTTTTGAAGATTAAAATGGAAACAATGTCAAGAACTGTAAAGAAAAATGCAGTTTAATTCTGTTTTGTTTATGAATTATGGGTCCCCTACTATTCAGGATATTGCTTATTTGGCTGTGAGATAATATCCGGGGGGGTTTAGACAGTAATAAATGAAACATATCTCCAATGGTTTAATATGACATTAAACTGTCATGGGCCTTCAAGAAAGTACTAATTCAGTTAGGGAATTAAAAATGCTTCTGATTTTTCTAGGGATGTCACAATAAAAAGGTACTTTTAAAAAGTAACTTCCAAACTTCCCCATCAGTAATTAATTTGCAGAAAATAATGAATGATTTAATTCTTCCTTCATGCTTGGCTGAAGAGTTCAACTTATGTAGTTGCATTGTCATATCAAAAAACATTATCATTATTGCAGAGGAGGAACATGGCTAAACTTGGAATTATTGTGTCCAAACTAACAAAATGTGGCTTGCTCTGAAATGAAGCTACCTGCATTATACTCAAGGCTTATACTTCCGTGGCTGTTTACATACACACACACACACATCTAGTTGATGGAAAATGGGTGTATATTGACTCCTCTGACTATTTCAACTTCTGCATTATTTCTGAAGCCACAGATTATGGTCATTGCTTTGCTAACACATATTTCTCAGAGTACTGAGTAATTTTAGTACAGCCTTAAATATCATGTTATACCAAATGATTGATCTTGAAACCTAAGTTTTTCTCTGGGAGTGGTTGCTGGTACCCATCACATTTTTTGTTGTCTTGTTTTATTTCACAAATTAACTTGGTTTAGTTGTCGTAATTGCCTTCCTGCTATTGTTGCTGTTTGCATTTAAGATTTTACCATTTTTGAAACTATTATTCTTTGTGAATTATCAGTTTTTTATGTATATAAATGTGTGGTATTAAAGTCTGATTATGTTTTTTTAAGTTTTAAATTGGTATTAAACTCCAATAATACAGTGTTTATTTGTATATGTTGAATGATCTTGCAGTCAGTAAGAGTATTAAATATTTTCTGTTATAGACCTTGATCATGGCTCTGGAACAACTATATTCTCTAAGTGCTTTAGACAGTGAAGGACTTTTAACTCGTCTGGGTCGTAGGGTAAGCATATACTGCATATTTTTTATTGGAATAAATAACTAATAGATTCCTTTAATGCCCTTTTTTAAGTCTTTCTCTTTCTCTCTTTACTAGCTGTATCACCATTCAGAGACAGCACTTGGTTTTAAATTTATACTTTTTTTTTTGCCAAAGTGTCTATCCTGGCAGAATGTTACATAATTTTCATTTGTAATTTCTAAGAACTGTGTCAAGTTTTCTTTTTCTGAATTTGTTATTCTTCAGTGAAAAGTGTAGTGTATTATTCTCATCTAACGAGCAGTGGTTGGTAGCTGCATGGGTGCTAATCTTATGATATGTGAGTATTCCCTGCCCACCTTCATTTTTGTGATGGAATATAAACAAAATATATTCCACAGGTAATAAGTTGATTTACAGTTTCGAAAATAAAGCTTTGATGCTATGTATTAAAAGAACGTTGCTCAAAATGCAAAAGAAGATCAAACAAACACGTGCCTGAGAGTAACAATTAAATGTCAATCTCGAACATCAAAAAGTTATTGTAAAGATTTATAAAATGTTTGTATTTTACATTTGGAAAGTTGTACAAATTTATGTAGCAGACAAGAGTCTAGTGGTAAGACAGTGAATCACCAATCTAAATATATGTTTAAAATCTTCTACTGGTTGCTAATAATCTGATGATATTAATGGTATCATGCATTATTTGACGAATTTATTTGCTTTATTGTGGTAAGAGATTACATTTATTTCTGTTTAATATGTTTGAGTAAAGAAGAAAATTTTTTTTTTCAGATGGCAGAATTTCCCTTGGAACCAAGTCTGTCGAAAATGTTAATCATGTCTGTCCATCTAGGTTGTAGTGAAGAGATTTTAACTGTGGTATCTATGTTGTCAGTCCAGAATGTGTTTTACAGACCCAAGGTATGCCACTCATTGTATACATGTTATCAGTTGAGTTTTAAAGAACGAAGGTAACCAAGTCATTGTATCCTTGTTACCAGAATTTGTTTTGCAGGCCCAAGATAACCCATTTATTGGATGCATGTTATCAGAATGTGTTGTACACACCCAAGGTAACCCATTAATTGTATACATGTTATATAGTGTTTGGGAGTGTTACATATTGAGAATTTGAAATAATCCAAGGCCGCGTTAAATAATTTAACTTTTAATAGTTGAGACGTACGTTGGATTTAGTGTTTAGAAATATGCCGGTATTTTATTTAATTTATGTTATTCGCCAACAAGAGCTATTCATACTGATCTTGTTTTGACAGAAATACGTTTTAATATATATATATATATATATATATATATCAACATTATAATTTACAATGGCAACTATTATGATTAATTATTACAAACCAAGTTTCATAAACAGAAATTTCATTAACTTACAAATAGCTTAAAATCGTCTTCCTAGTTCAGAGTATCCTTGATATCCAGCGAGTTGAACATACATATAATTGGCGGGAAGCTAGCTAGCTTTGTCAGGCACTGAATTGTTGGACCGTTGAAGTAAGATAATATTTTCATAAAACCACTAATGTCCGATGAGAAATTAATAATATTCTTGGAGAGATATTAATGTTTGATGGGAATTCACTGACGTTCGAAATTTATAATGGTTCTGGTCAAATGTTGTATATTTCCGGTTGATAAAGGTTAGCAAAATCACAGTTTATAGATTTACACGATTATAACAATCTCCAAGTAGACTTGTCTCTTCTCTGTTCTCTGCTGTTTTTTGGCACGATGCCCTGCTGTTTTTAAAGGCGAGACACTTTTCTAGAACCTTCTAATAATACCGGATACAGAAATATTGTTGATTCTTATGTTCACGAATATTCTACAATCTAGAAGAATTGGCGGGAGTTCCACCATATGTAACTAACACGGTAAGTTAGACACGCCCTCAAATATCAACTTATTAGAAACAAATGTTGACATTAAAATAAATATATAACAAATTCGTTATACGCAACACATATCTGATACTACAAGTCACGCATATTTCTAAATACAAATTCAATCAAACATCGTTCATATTAAAAATAAATACATAATAATAAGTTTGTTACACCCGTCATTGGAATTATAGGGCTGTAGATCCAAATCTAGATCCAAGGCTTAGTGGCTAGGGCATGAGGACTGCTGTTTATTCTTTCTTATTTTGTAACCTGATATTATTGGAACAAAACAAGAAGGTTACAGAATATTGCATGTCAAGCCAACAGAATTATGAAGAGAAGGCAAGCAACACAAAAGTGGACAAACCTTTGCTCCAACCTGAAAAAGCACGAAATTCAACAAACCAAATTCAAAATTATGGGACCTGTCATGCCTCACTCAAACTGAAGAAACAGAGATTACCTGGCCTGGGATTACAAACCAAAATCCT